CAAATGAAGTGGATGTAAGCACAATTATAGGCAACCGTACGGCCTTCAACAATGACAAACTCATACCGTAAAGTCGGCTATGAAAAATATGAAACAATTCAATTGAGAAACAAACGGCCTTATTTATAACAAAACAATTTACGAAAAACAAATATAACAGATATGTTAGTGAGCGCTCAACCCTCCGCATAACCTGGGACAGTGGTGTTACAGCATAACATAACAACATTCTATACAAATCAGTTAAAAGGACTTTACTCATCAGATCGATACAAAGCATAAAAACATCTAACAAAAAGCACACTTTTAACACAAATTATTTCCCATGATCAGTTTTCGGCTAGCTGTAAGGCGTATTCTTGATAAATAATCTAGTGGGACAGTTGCCTAATCTCCGTAATTGAAGCGCATTGTGTTGTATCTATACTACTAAAATAACGAGGTCCAATTTGTTAGCCGGCATTACGTTAAAACGACAAATAAAAGAATTAAACTTTATTTATAACTAATATAGGACAAGCATTGTTTAAAAATGACACCATTCCAGACCAATTTGTTTTCCACATAATTAATATGACGAATAATTAACAAGTTCCAGGTAGAATCCCATACCGATACCAATAGTATATCTCACATGCAGTTTCCGGTTGTAGTTACCTGTTACCTTCTAAAAATCCCTCCTCTATCAGGAAAGCCTGGAATTCTTCCAGTAGTTGTTTTATATCTATGTTACACTAAAGTACACTATTTAATAAGTCTGTTTTCTTCTACCTCAATACCACTATTAATTTTGGCTAATTAATTAAAAAATCAAATTTAGTTTATAGCAAGTTTATTGTAGTAATAAAACCAGGACGGTGTAAAGCAGATTTTGAAAGCAGAGAAAACTTTTGCACCTTACAATCAGCATGACTATCAGATGAAAATACAAATACCAAAAATCCGAGCTAAAAATAAGGCATAGATACTTTAATTCAGTCATGGACCCGCGATGTTGCGGGTGTGTTCTAGTAAAGCAATATATGTGTTTTAGTATGAAAATCTGAAACTGTTTAAAACTGATTATACTGATTTAAACACGAAAACTGATGAATAAACTTACAGATAATGCTCACATTATTGACATCTGTCTTTTTTGTGAACATTATTTTAGTAAGAACATGTTAAAATCAAAAAAAAAAACAACCCGTGGTTTTCTATTTCCGCATTATTTCAATAACTACTTTAGCGATAGAGCGACGAAGATTAACTCAAGTCAATTATTATATTTAAGAGAAGTGATGTAAGTTTGACTTAACTAAAGTGTTCAACCTATAAGGCAGACATGAGTATTTACTGACTTTGGTATAGAAGATGTCATCTGTTTATCATTTTTTGTTTAATCGAGACTAAAGTTATAAATGGGAGATAATTAATAATGGACACACGTTCCGATTTGTCTTACTGTCAACCATACAACTGCTCTTTACTTTTAAAATAAAAGAAGACACATAAAAAAGTAATAACAAAAAAAAACGAACTCCAAAGTATATAAAAAAAATGGGGGAAGTCCATAAAACCTTACAAAATCAAAGGTTAGACTTTATCAAACAACGGAACGAAAGGAAAACAGCTATCACGTTCCTTACTTGGACATGGTAGAAGAAAAAATGCTCGTCTAATTATTATTTTTTTTCTCTTTCTAAAATGAATGAAACTATGGTTACTTGCTGATAATGTGCATATATTGCGGTTCCAAATTTAGTCTACGACAAACATCGGCGTAAAGTGGTTGCTCTATATTTGTACTTAAAGCAGAACAATATTTAAATTGACATGGTAAAGGAATTTCTATTGTTTTTTAGAAATATGCAGTTGCCTCCTTTGCAGTTTCCTATTGGTATAAGTGAGTCCATGGCAGTATAAAAAACATTGTTTTTTTTACTTCAATTAATCTGTACATCTACTGCAGATGTGGAAAACACGAAGGGTAAATTGTCGAACGTTATAACACATTAAAACACATTTTCAGATTAAAATACATACCCTGTGTCCACGCTTTTCTACCAATTACAACTTAAATTTTCAATTACAAACACGTGTTGCAGGATCTCAATATTGACGACTTCAAGTCTAAACCTCCTGATTGCACCTGTGCTTGGTCCCCATTAATATATAATCCCGCTGGCAACGTTATTACTGGTGACCTAAACATTGTCAATAACATTTCTCTGCGAAATGTGTTATCCAAAGGCCCGAAATATCGTGAGCCTAAATCCATCAATTGGAAACACAACTTCAAAATACTGATGGATTCAGTCGAGGATTATGCCCGCCAATGGGTTAAACTCGAGAAAGAAGACGTAGGTACTCTTTCCGAATGGATTACGGCTGTGAGGTCGTTGATACAAATCAAAATTAAGAAACTGAATGGGTGTATGAATACCCGTGCTACATCAATCTTTCAAGACCCAAATGTTGCAAAACACTTGTCTTACCTCCATGAAAGATATGTTGTTGTCCCCGCAGATAAAGCCCCAAACAACATCGTTTTTGTGTGTTAATCACATTACCTAAACTGCTTAATAAATGAATAAGGTATTGTCAATTCACATGGAAACTCAATATAAACCCCCACGACACTTACCAAAGAGGGAATCCTGGATAATCATAGGTCTGTTCTATGTTCCTTTGGAATTGCAACCAAATATGAAGAACTGGATCTTCCATCACTGTATTGGATACATAAACTACATAAGTGTCCTTACAAACAACAGTATATTGCTGGGTCTTCCAAGTGCTCCACGAAACCTCTTTCTAAATTACTAACATCAATTTTATCAGCATGAAAGCCGGGCTTGAAAGTTATTGTGAAAATACATATTCTAGAGGTGGCGTGAATCAGATGTGGATACTAAAACAATCCTTAGATCTTTTAGAGTACACACAATCTAAGACTCATTTATCTTGCAATAGTATTTAAACATTTGACTTTTCTACACTTTACACAAGTATTCCCCATTCCCAACTAAAAGACATATTGAAAGAGTTGGTCCTGCTTTGATTCATGAAATAGAATGGCCAACGTAGATACATGTATCTGTCTAAGGGAGGAATAAATCATACTTTGTAAAAAATCACTCTGATTCAAACAAAAAATTCTCTGAAACTGACATTATTAAGATGCTTGATTGCTTGATTGTCAATATATTTGTTTCGTTTGGAGGACGTGTTTTTCAACAAACAATTGGCATTCCCATGGGAACCAACTGTGCCCCTCTTCTTACCGACTTGTTCCTTTATTCATATAAGGCTGACTTCATACAAGAACTTCTTAGAAAGAAAGAAAAGAAGTTAGCAATATCCTTTAACTTTACTTTCCGCTATACAGATGATGTTCTCTCACTAAATAATTCAAAATTTGGTGACTATGTTGAACTCATCTATCCCATCGAACTTGAGATAAAGGATACAACAGATACAGTTAAGTCTGCCTCATATCTTGACTTACATCTGGAAATGGACAATGAGGATCGGTTGAAAACTAAACTTTACGACAAAAGAGATGATTTCAGCTTCCCAATCGTGAACTTTCCATTTCTATGTAGCAACATTCCAGCAGCGCCTGCATACGGAGTATATATCTCCCAGTTGATACGATATTCCAGGGCTTGTATTTCCTATCATGATTTCCTTGATAGAGGGTTGCTGCTCACAAGGAAGCTATTAAACCAAGAGTTCCAAGTGTTGAAGTTGAATCATCCCTTCGTAAATTTTACGGACGCCATCACGAGTTGGTTGACCGTTATGGAATACCCGTTTCACAAATGATGGCGGATATGTTCCAAATGTCGTAACTACAATCCCGACCCCTTTTCCCCGAATGTGACCTACCGAATTAGACTTATTACCGGGTTTGTACTAACACGAGCAACACGATGGGTGTCACATGTGGAGCAGGATCTGCTTACCCAGTGGCCAGTGGGTCAGATTTGTCTAACTTAATTATTTGATTAATTGTTTAAATCAGATAAAACGTTTTCACTAGTAGAGAACCAGTGAGTGAGTGGATTCCATGCTTCTAATTGGTCAATGATTTTGTGGGGTCAGCACGAGTTACCGTCTATGTGCTATATATGAGCTTCCTTTTATCATCAGCTTTTGACGTGATAACTTGTAATTCTTAAAAAAGTAAAATAACAAAAATACCGAACTCAAAGGGCGAAATCAAAAGCTCTAACACATCAAACGAATGGAAAACAATTGTCATATAATACATTGCGTGAAATTTAAATTCCCGCCCGCAAACCTCCCTTTATTTTATCTTTAGAAGTTGATGTGTAAATATATATGATTTTTTAGTGGGGCAGATTTTTCTCCCCATCTTTGCTATTCTTTGTCTTTTATTGTATTGATATGATTTTAGTTGATGTAATTTTGTATTAATTATGTATTATAAATGCATATTAATTATGAACTTTTATGTCAAATGTTTTATTTGCAAATTGTATTTTTTTTTTACATTTTATGATTTTGAATACATTTTTTGTCAATTTTGTTTTTATATCATATAGCGAAACAAGATCAGACTAAATTACTTATCGTATGTTTATGGTATCTGTCAGTAAGTCTTAAATTAATCTGCCATACTTATTTTTCAATTAGTCAGTCATACTATACGAGAGTAAATACAATTTCTTTTTTTTTTTCTTTCTATTTGCGTTTGGTTAATTTTAAGATTAAAACAGAAATACAAAATTGTATTGAAATCGATTAGCTCTTCTTCACTTTTGTTTCACTGATAATAAAAACAAACTTTATTTTGAACGAATATGTACTTGAAACATGCTTCAAGCCTTATCGAACTCACAACGTTAACGACTTTTGGCAGTGTCAAATCATATACAAGGTTGAAGTCATGATAGTCTGCATTATATATGTGTCAAAGATTAACTTATTGCTAACTACGTCCAAGTATAAAGATAAGAAATTACTTGTTCTAAATTTTAAATGATGGAAAATATGGCTTTGATAGTCGCATTACAACTCATTTTATACTTCAGAACGTGTTTAATGGAAGGATTGGGAGAGATAAATGAGATCCGTGGATCAAAACGATTACTACTAAATGACCCAGATGCCATCAACAACAGATTGAATAATTTGGAAAGGTCCTTACAACAGCAACAAGCAACAATTTTACAACAACAGGCAACAATTCAACAGCTTAAACAAAATAACCCTCAAGGTGAGTACAGTTGAACTACAAGTAAAACAATATTCTATATATATAGATATAATACTTACCTCTGATTATTTTCCTGAATAAGAAACACACTCTAGTACCGGCTATTCTTTTACCCTGTTACCGACAGACGCAAAAGATAAAACAGATCAAAATCTGCTGTACAAGATTGCAAAATTCATTGTATTGCAACAGCAATCAGAGAGGCAGAGAACAAAATGCTAAACATGAAATGGGAAACACAGATCATCGTATCTGCCGTATATACCAATAGTCGTTCATAAAGGGTAGTAAAGGATAAAAAATGTACATTTTATGTCAACATTTACAAATATGGAGAATTATTTCTTTACTTGTTCTTATGGTAACAGAAGCTCATCCACGAGATTATCATTATCAAATATTTTCATAACTTCCATAAATAAACTTTATTCACGATTACCCTTGGTATCTGAAACCATACATCTTTATTACTATATTCGCTAGATCGGCAAAACTGACTTTAGTGGTTATACTTGACATACACGTGTGCGATGATTGTTCCTATAGTGACCGGACTATTTTGAATTAGATAAATGAGCCCATTTTTTTTAATATGAACATTTTATATTTTTTTTTACTCATATGGACACCTATTAATATTTTTTTAATCCCGGAATTGCTTAATTGGTTATAAATATATCAAAATCGAAAAACAAAACATTTTCATTCTTTGTTATTCGTTTTTATTTCTTAGTTATGCACGGACCAGAAATCCTGTTTTGTTTGTCTTTGAGGTTTATTGTGTATAAGGCCTCAAAGGAATACAAGATACAGTCATCCAGTAGCGATGCATAATCAGTTCAAGCCACCAACCACAACAAATATAATAATTGTCATTCAAAACGTCGAGCATCTTGGTGAAATTATTTTTGGTGCATATCAAATTTGTGTAACCTTAAACAAGTGAAATTGTCCTACGAATCCTATTTTTGTAGAAAGGCGTTGTTCAATTTGAAGATTTTTCAATTTTGTAAGATGATTAATAGTGTCGATTGAAGAGAAATAAAAAAATGATATTATTGCAAAAGGATTGTGGTTGAAGATTTTGAAGAACCAACATATGCTTGACATTGCCGGTTGAGTATATTGCATAAGATTAGTTTTGACGACCATCTTTTACTGTAGGAAATTTAATATATGGCCGGTAATATGTGTTTTGTTTACTGTTGTTTTCCTTTGAACGTTTTTCGTTTTATGCCATGGCATTTTCAATTTGTTTTCGACTTACGAGTTTGAATATCCCTTTGGTATATTTGTCTTTCTTTTGAAACAGACTTACACATAGGTAACTCTAGCTGTTCATATAAAAAGGAGAGAACAGAATGTGTTTATCTGAAGGATGCAAACGGATATTCTTTTGTTTAATAATGGCCTGGTCTGAACATGTGATCTAATCATGATAACTTCTCCCTTGACGAATGTTTTCATTAAGATTCCCAAGTATCTATGACATGTTTAATTTTATCTTAACTTTTAGATCAGGGATCTACTTATATACAGTGGGGAAAGACATCCTGTTCATCCATGGGAACAGAAACTATTTATTCAGGTATTCCAATATTAATATAATGCATTTCTCTTATGTCTGAAACTTTTATAAGTCTATCGTCTCAGTATATTTTATTCTGATACATTGCTGATATGTAGTTGCTTGATCGTATAAGACATATAACTAAGAAAACCAAAATGAAGTTATATTCAACATAAAAGTGAAAATTTCATTAATGTTTGTTTTAATATTTCAAAATAATTTAAAAAAAAACCACGGCCACAGTAATATAAGTTTTGTAATGTGAAGTAAACTCCTACTTTTACCTAGAAAATGTAATGTGTTTATTTTGATCGCATCAGTTCATTAACAAAATATGACTTGTTGGTTGCTTCCAGCCGTGAATAGTAAAACACATATATATTTCAAATTATTAGAGCACATCTACAGATTGAGAAAGCTACCTCTGTCTGAGACAGTAAGCTTCCATTCTTAGTGAGATTGAATACCATCATTTTGATTTGACAACAGTTGCCCGAGTTATGGGTCTTTGACTATTCCTGTCTTGTTGAACCGTACCTTGTTAACGCTTCTGCTCAGAGACGATTGTCCTGAAAAATTGGTTGCACTATTTTGTATCATGTTGAAAATAAAAGAAGAGGGTATCAGTTATAAAATACTGTAATTGTTAAACGTATGGTTTATGGCAAAAAACGTTAAAAAAATCATAGAAAATTTACAGTAAATGTATAGTTAAAAAAGGGGGGTTTATGTCTCAGGCGCCTGTGGTCATGTGTAGTCCAACATAATGAACGACCATTTTTATGTGACTTTTTTTTTTAAACAATTTATGGACTATTGTAGTATAATGAAACGTTTCAAACGCTACTTTTGTCAAAAAGATAAGTAGTAGTTTTGTCATTACATTTATATGGTAATATTTTTATTTTGAAACTTTTGAAATTATCGACATGATTATTGCCATTTCCTTGGTAGGTGTGAAGGTGTAGTACCACAGTCTACTCTTGAGACCAGTATTATCATACTTTATCACAACAAACATTCGTTACGATGTGGAAATCTTGTTATTGTTCTAATAAAATCCATTATCACTTTTCGTTTTCATCACTTGTATCTAAATGTATTACTTTGTAGGATATGCTGCTGGTCAACTATTTTATTCCGCGTCATCATATCCAAACAGGTTAGGAGGAGCAGCAAATATGCTATGTCTTCCTAATAATCCAAAACTAAGTAATAAAACAGCCGGGGGATATAGCTTAATATACGGTTCAGAGTTTGAGGAAAATTTTCTTAGAAGTGACGCAGTCGATGAAGATATTCCATGTGCATTTTGCAGAAGTTTAAATACAACTTCTTCTGAAATGTTTCCAGGTCGAAATGTTTGCTACCATGGATGGAAGACGGCGTATGAGGGATTTGTCATGTCCGGATACTGGGGACATAGGGCATCGTCTTTTATTTGCGTTGATCTGCACCCAGATTACGTTCCAGGTGGTAAAGCTAATGTAGATGGTCATCGGTTATACGTGACTGGTACAAAATGTGGTTCTCTCTCTTGTCCTCCTTATTACGACAATCTGGCTCTCAATTGTGTTGTTTGCTCCAAATAAAATTTAAACGCCGATTATTGCAATGAAGTGTTCTTACTTTATTAACCCTGTACATTTACATATACTCAGATCTTTTTGACTAATAGAAGAAGTGGAATTTGTATGATTTTACAATTGCATATAGTTTAATACTAGACATCTATAAAGCAGAAGAAGAAAGTTAATATAATGTACACTTGGGATTCTACTAATAGTAGGAACAACCATCGCAAGCAATTTCTGTGGAAAAGCAAGCGAAAAATATAAAAAACGGCAGATGAACAGTTCAGTCATTTCGGAACAATTACACTTCCATATAATCAAGAAGTCAACCTTCCTTTATATAGTCAGATACATATGGGAAACGTAACAACGAGACAGCATTAGGGCAAAAATTATGGTCTTTTATACTAGTCTATATCTATATATCACATGTCATACTATGAATCGCCACTCGATCTCATATAGACAAGCCTTGATTTTGCCATCATAGTTCTTTACTACATCAGTATCAATAGAGGAATTTAATCAATGTAAAAGTATTTGACAAGATGCTTCTGTTTCTGTAAATTTACTGATTATTAATTACTCGAAATACTCCTATGCATAGGTCATTGTAGATTTCCTTATCCGGTTTTTATGCACACTTTTTTTTTGGATTTTTCGGTTTTTTGATTGAGAACAAAACTTTACGACAAAAAAAATGATTTCAGCTTTCCAATTGCACATTTTTCATTTCTATGTAGCAACATTCAAGCAGCGCCTGCATATGTCCCAGTGGAACTGGCATTGCCTCATAATGAATTCCTTGATAGAGGATTACTGCTCACAAGGAATCTATTAAACAAAGAGTTTCAAGAAATGAAATTGAAATCATCCCTTCGAAAATTTTAAGGACGCCATCACGAGTTGGTTGACTGTTAGGGAATATCTGTTTCACAGATGATGATAGATATGTTGCAATTGTTGTAACCACAATCCCGTCCACTTTACGTCGAATGTAACCTACGGGATGTGTGTTTTAAAATTTTGGTTTATTTGTATTTTTCGGAGTCATTTTCATTTCACTGAACTAGTATAAATTATTGTTTAGGTGCCAACGGAATCCCGCCTCTAAGTGCGGGATTTTCTCGCTGAGTTGAAAACCCAATTGTGGTCTTGGGCTGTTTTTTGCTCTTTGGTCCGGTTGTTGTTTCTTTGACAAAATCCCCGTTTCCATTCTCTATTCTATAATCACTGGGTTTGTACTTAAATGAACAACACGACGGGTGCCACATATGGAGCAGGATCAGTTTACCCTACCGGAGCATCTGAGATCATGAACAACTAAAATTTGCTTACGCAAGTTTGAAGATCTAACATTGTTGGGCTAAATTTGAGACGAAATATATATATATTATGGTGTTAACCCCGTATAACCACGGTTAACCGATCTTTCTGGTGGGCAAAATGTTAAATTGCGTATGTAAAATGAAATTTATTTAGGGGGGTGTTGACAAGATGCAATGTATTTTTCAATGGGAAATGGAATTTAGATGAAGTCAAGTCATTTAATGTGGGAAATACATATTGCAACTTCCATGATTCTTCTTCTGGGATGGGAACCAGGATCGCTTGGTTATCAGGCCGAAATGTGTTCTTTCAGCTACGGAACCAGACTGAAAAGTATTCTTAAAAATCCTTTTGTAGATGTTATGTAATACAGTTTCCCTTTCTCCTGCATGACATACATAATCAATATTAAGATAGAAAAAAATGAAAATAAGATGTAAATATAAGTTATGTTTGTTAAAAGAAAGGGGATGTACCTGATTTATGTTCGATTTATTTTTGAAAAAGACAGACCATTAAATTGCAAAGACAGTTGGTTATCAGGCCGAAATGTGTTCTTTCAGCTACGGAACCAGACTGAAAAGTATTCTTAAAAATCTTTTTGTAGATGTTATGTAATACAGTTTCCCTTTCTCCTGCATGACATACATAATCAATATTAAGATAGAAAAAAAATGAAAATAAGATGTAAATATAAGTTATGTTTGTTAAAAGAAAGGGGATGTACCTGATTTATGTTCGATTTATTTTTGAAAAAGACAGACCATTAAATTGCAAAGACAGGCAACAGATTCAAGAGGTTACAGAAAATGCATTTTGTGTATTCTGTTTGTTCTCTGGGATCTCAATTTGCTCATGTTTGCACGTATTAGAAGAAGTTTTACATGATCTAAGAAACATATACTGAAACAAGCTAACAATTTAACCATGGATACTATTTTGTCCCGTTATTAGAAGCTTTGATGGGTAAATATACAGAAATTCATTTTTAAGAAAAAACACACAACTGAATGGAAAATATCAAAGAACGATTGATTAACATGGTTATTTTTGCAAAACTATAACATTTTCAAAACTCCAGATTTCGAAATTTACGGTTTTTTTTCTCTTTAAAAATAATGTTGAATTTAAAAAGAATATATATTGGTATGATAACGATTCCATTTTCCTAAAGAGGGCAATTCGAAATGAAACAACAGACATTTTGAGAGCAGCTGAGATTAAGAGGTTTCAATTTTGACCTTTGTCTCAAAATGAGGCTATTTGAGCAAATATTTTTTAGTTTTGCACAAAAATAAAACTAGAGGCTCTAAAGAGCCTGTGGCGCTCACCTATGTCTATGTTTATCTTCAACAATGTACACTCTCCATCATTGTGGATTAGAAAAGAATGCGTGACAAAAATCTCTTTTTTGTTGATCTTGTATTGCTGACATTGTTTAATGTTTACAGTTTCTATCTTCTTTAGTTTTTGCCCAAAAACTAAAAGGGTAGAAAATCGTAATTTGAGGGCAATCACTCCTACAAAGTTTCTACTATCGATTTCAGCAAACTTTGAATTATTTGTAGATCTTGTCTTACTTATATTTTTGGTTATTTAAGTGTCAGTCTATCTTTTATAGTTTTCAAAATAATAGGCAAAAACCCAAAAAAAATTATAAACATTTTCTGTAAAGAGCAAGAAGACCAATAAAGAGTCTACTGGCGATTTCAGCAATGTTGACTTATTTGTGATCTGTTCTTTCTCATCTTTTTTTTATTTAAAGTGTCTTTATATCTAAGATAGTTTTCAAGATATAAAGCAAAAACGCAAAATATGGTTAAAATCGTCATAAAAGGGCAATAACTGCAAAAAGGAGTCGATTCGGCCAAGTCCAAATTTATTTGTAGATCTTGTCTTGCTGATAATTTTGTAGATTTAAAACTCCTCTCTTTCTATTATAGTTTTCATGATAATAGACAAGAAGGAAAATGTTTTGATGTAATGAACAATAGATATATGTCAGTATTTTGAACATTTTTGCCCCTAACGGGTTTTTTAAATTTATAGCGGTTTTCAAGATAATAGACAAAACTTGTATTTGACCCTACATGTTTTTCAGTCATGTCGGCCATTTTCGTTGGCAGGCGTGGTCATTGGAAATATTCTTGAAATTGGATACCTTAAGAGTCATTCTCTGTAAGCATCAAAATCATGTGGAAATGACATGTCACAGAAATGGTTCAAAATTTGTAAAAATGTTCTAACAATTGAGATATACTGAAATATCCATCAAGTTTCACTTAAAATTTTGCGGTTGCTATGGTAACCGCTTGAACAGTTTTTGGTCAATTTTTGTAAGTAAAAAAAGCTGAAAATGTGCAATTACAGTTGGATGTGTATGGCCTTTTAGAGAATAAAAAAGAAAATTGTGTTAGTTGTTATGACTAAGTATGGTTGTGACATATTCAAAAAATGCATTTAGAAAAAAAAAATATTTAGCAGTTATGTCAAGAACCTAGCCCCAAAAAGGGTCAAATTCCTTGTGTATTGAGAGTTCCATTTTACCATGTTTTGAAAACTTTGAGAATTTTAAACCCAGATTTTCCCGATATGGCTAATATAATTTTTAAATAGTTTAATTATTGCTTAATCAAAATACAAAAAATTGAGAGGGGTATAATTGAAAATTTTGCATAATTCAATTTTTCGAAACCATGGTTTTTCGAAATTACTGTTTTTAATATTGTTACAAATCGAATACTGAAATTAACACGAACGCTCTATTTGTCTTCAAATACTTAATCCTGCTCTTAGAAATAATAAAATGTTTTCAAATTAAACTTAGCAACTGCTGAATTATTAAATCTCAATTACTCGCCCCTTTTAGTTACCCCTGTGTAGCAGGAGTAGCTTCCCCTTGATTACTCTTGAGACTAGAAGACACAAACGTTATATGTATGTCTACAGAAAACAATTCCACATAGATAGATGACAAAATGTATTCCAAAGTACTATAAACATAATAATATGTGTTTCGTTTGCCACTCGAGGTTTAACCATAAACAAGACTGTTGAAAAAATTCCCAGTGCTCTACTGAACTTGTGAAATTGAAATCATTTCATCAATCAGATTTTCTGATAATTTTAACTGAGGACAGTGAAGTAGATCTTTTACTAGCAATTGTAAATGTCTGAATTTTCCGTAATGTTTAACACATTCCCAAAAACTTGGTCAAGCAAAATGGAGAAAGGAAAAGGAGGACTCTGTGCATGGTATCCAGGGCAATTAGTACACCCAAATGTAGACCATTGAAAGAAGAGGTCGGGTCGAGCAGTATCTGCTGTGAACCTGGTGGACAAAGAAAATGTTCTAAACGCCTATCAGAAAAAGACATACTTGTGACACGAAAACAATATGGAATCATTTAACTCTATGAGCACAGTAAGTAGAAATTATTGATACATGTACATATGGGGTGGAGACGAGGAGCTGGACCCCGAGCCGAGAGGAGGGGCTTATAGTTTTACCTTTGTCCATCTGTACGTCCTACAGTTGGTTTCAGTTCTCTAACTTAAGTTTGCCTGACCAACACGTTATGAAACTTATAAAAAATGCTTATTACCACTAAACACAGATCAAGTTTGAATTTCGGTGGCATTACTTTAACCATTCTAGAGTTATGCCCCTTTAAAAATGGATTTTTGTT